GAGAGAGAGAGAGATCAGGCAGAATAGTTAAGAGTAAGGTTAGCCTCTTATCTCATGTGCTGTGGTCCATTATCGTTATCATCATAAATAAATAAATAAATGATGGCAAGAATGACAGACTGGACAAGAAGAAAGCCATTTGGCCTTGAGGTCTAGTAAATTCACAGTACATTCTTCCTACCTCTGGGCTAGAGCAAAGACAGGATTGGAAATGGACATGCTGTAGCCCTATAGCAGCTAACCAGTTTGGAGTATCTACAACATGTGGGAGGAGACTCTGCCAAAAAGTAGGAAGAATACATCTGGCCAGTTGGGTACCCCTCAGGAGTGATCAGATGGTCTGTCTTATCACATGGGAACCTCATCAGAAAACAGCATGAGCCAGACAAAACCAGGAAAGTGGAAAAGGCATGGCATCTGAGACTGGACAAAAGTGGTGAATTCCTAAATGTGGCGAATTCCCATTTTGCCTCTGTATTTTAAAAAGTTTAAATAGTTCTCTAATATCTGTATATTTCACAAAAATTTTCTTTTAATCAAAAGCATTTTGTAGAGTTTTCAAAACGTGTGTATATTGGATTCATTTTTCCATAACATATTTTTTTACTGGAGAACTATATATTTTCACTGGATTACTTACTTTCAATGCATGTTTCTGGTTTTAAAATGCAGAATTATATAAATACATATTAAAATGCAAAATGAATAATATTCTCCCCATTACTAGTTTTATTTCTATAATAATTCATTACTAAGAAAATATGTGATTACATTAATACCATTGCTCAGATACACAACAAAATACATATTCCAGTTATACTTGAAAATCAGAGCAAGCCTTTTTGTAATCAAGCCATAGGGCATAGCACTGAGAAATTCGGCTTTCCTGAAAAAAAGAGAAAACTTGAATTCTGTTTCTTTGCAGGTATGCATGTTACTCTGAAAACCTCTCTCCTGCAATTTGTTTATCCCAATATCTGTCATCACAGGCTTCACCTTTATGAATTCAAACTTGCCAAAAAAAACCTTGTCATAGCAGCTGGTAGCAGCTTTAGGGCAGCCTTGCAGGAGAAGAGCACCTTAGTGTAAATATTTGTTTTAAAAGATTGCCCTTAATAAAGTAGTACAGTGTTTGATTGATTCATCTGGTCATTTTTATTACACTAATGGAATGTGTTTATCTTCCAAGATTGAACATGTAATGGGTTTGATTTTTGGAGCTTGTTTGGATACACAGTAGATTGAAAAGTTTGAACTTTGATTAATTTAATTGAATGACTATGGGCATTTCTACACTGCAGCCTTAAGCTGTTCCTGTGCTGTGTCTAGGAGAGCTGGACTCTAAAATAGATTAAGAAAATACTGTCTGGATTAGGACACTTTGGCCAGGTGTTCATCTTGGACTGACTGCTACTATAGCCCCACACTGGACAATTCTTCTGCTGCTATACCATCCCAACTTCCTAACATGTTAGGGCAATTGTTGGACATCTGAGCCCAAGCAAGACAGAGTTAGTTTGTACACTGGGGTTTTCTGTTGATGCCAGAGTAGTTTCTGGATGGGCAGGCACACCCCGGGAAGGAGCAAGTTTGCAATTTGGGGATTTTTCAAGACTCATGGCACTTGCTTGAGCAACAAGCAGAGGCCATGGGCAGTGGGACTTTTGTTCAGCTTTGGTTGATGCATCAGTTGTCACCCAACCTGGTCAGGAGGACCTAAATACAGTAATCCATGCCCTCATTACCATCCAGTTGGGCTGCCCTTAAAGACTACTTGGAAACAGCAACAAGTCTAATGACAGCAATTAGACATCTCCAGCAGCCTCCAGGCACTGTGACAGGATCTTGACCATATAGCTTGGTTGTCTAGGGTGGAGATGTATAATTGATATTGTTGGTGTATCAATGATGCCTCACTCCATGTTGTTCCATGACCTCACCAAGCAGCTTTATGCAGATGTTAGAATAGGAGCAAGGAGAGTGATGATCCCTGAGGCACTCCTCAAAGCAGGGGCCTTGGGCTACAGCTTCCCTCTCATTAACACTTATTGGAATCAGCTCTGGAGAAAGGACCAGAACCATTGCAAAACAGTGCCCATTCCCAGCCCTCAGATTCAGTCCAGAAATATGCCATTATCATAGGTAGTGAAAGGCACTAATTAACTGAGAAGGACCAGGATGGCTGCATCATCCCCATCCCAGTCCTGCCAGAGGTCATCCACAAGCATGCTCAGTGTACCTCTGAATCAACTGAAAGAGGTCCAGATGATCTGCTTCCTCCAGGGTCCTTTGAAACTGCAGCCTGACCACCTTTTTCACAAAGAAGGTTGGAGTTTGGTTGGAAATGATCTTATCTTGTTGCACCCAGCAATGGCTTCTTGAAGAAGAGGGGAGATCACCATCTCATCTTAAAAACCTCTTCCTCAGTAATAAGCCACAGTTGATTGGGTTTGTATGATAAACAAACCCATAAACCATGGTTTCTAGTCATAATGGTTAACTGAATAAAAATGCTAAGTCAAGAAGAAACCAACACATTTTAACTTATTGTGAGGTGCAGACCAGGCAATTGTTTTGCTCTGCTTTTCATGTATAGTATAAGACCACAAACCTGCTGGGATGAAAGCCCATTGAATTCAGTGGAGTTAACTTCTGATTGATAAAATACATAGGACTGCATGGTGAGATACTTTCAGTAGACAATTAAAAAGACATTTAATAAAGAAAGACTAAATATTAGACCTTGCAATGGGAATCTTCCAGTCAAACAATTAATTTTAAACGGAGGATTTCTCAGGGGAAACTGCAGATTTATAAGGCAGAGTGCTTTTGGAAATAAACAATCCCAAGGGCTGCACCTTCCTTAAAATGTTAGGAATTCTGTCTCATTTTAAACTAATATTTTTAAAATAAAGGAATAGAGCATTTTACTTAGTCTCTGCAGGAAACATATTTTTTCCTGAACAATTTTCATTGGATTTCATGGGAAAAAATGGCTGTTGAAATTTAATTCAAGGAGAAGAGAATCTCAGTAATATTCTCAGAATGTGTTGTTCTGGCACTTACCTGGTTAGGGGAATGGGCAAATTGTGTTTAAGAATGCCTTATGTTTCATTGCACAATAATTGTTCCAGCAGCCTGCATTTGCTAACTTCCCATGCATCAATTAAATCCTAATGGAAGACAGCGCAGAAAAGTCCTCCTCTAAGCTGTTTCCACCTTAGGAACTGTGAGTAGCCCGGGAACCTTCAGAGTGATGAAACAATGTGAAACAAACAAGAAAAAATAACCACTGCAGCCACTTCCAACATATTTATCAATAAAGTAAGCTCAAAAATACCACCCAGAGAAATGAGAAATAAATTCTTAAGTAGCCTGGGAATAAGATAGGAAAATGGAGCACAGAAATTACACAGAAAGAGAACTTTTGAGAAATTGCAAGGCAGGTTTTGGCACAGTATTAATTGTACTACATAAAAGATATAAGCAGCTCCAAATTTCTTGACCAATTTTTCAAAAAGTACATCACAGCCATGCCAAAGCACATTCATTTTTCCCCCTATCAATATTTATAAATAGGGTAATCCAAACCAAATAATAGTTTCTAGTATTGCAAAGTGTTATCTTCACAGAAGTTCCTTTCTTTGCATTAATATTTCTTTTTTTTTTTCTTGCTTGCTTCCAATTATTTCTAACAGAGGCTCAAGGAGCTAAAACAGAGGGAGTTTGCTCGGAATGTAGCATCCAAATCAAGAAAGGATGAAAAGAAACAAGAGAAAGCTCTTCAACGCTTACACAAGTTAGCTGAACTCAGAAAAGAAGCTGCATGGTGAGTGAGAAGTTACTGAAAGGCAAAGAGAAGGAAAGAAAAAAAAGGCAGGAAGAATGTAACTGACTATCGTGATCCCAAACCAGAACAACAAATATTATTTTTTTTTTCCTTTTTTTCTGACAAACTATTCCTGGTAATTAGATTTGGCACAATGCAAAGAAATAAGCATTTTAAAATTATTTTTGCAGGAAAGCGAAACAAGTATTTTAGTTAAACATATATCATGGGTAGTGATGTCTGTGGGATGGCAGAAGTGTTGTTTCAATGCAAACTCCCCATCTCTATCCCATGAGTCTATTATCAGTTAGTTAGTAGTCCTGGTAATGATTTCATTACCAAGTAATCCTGGTCTTACATTGAGTTTCCCCCACCCATGAGTTTTTGGATCATTGTGGCCTTAAACTACTTAGCTGCTAACATTAACATTGAATTAATTTAATGAATTAAAATTAACATGAAGTTAACAGAAGTATACCATTTGAAAATTACAACTTCATTATGTAAATTTCACACACATGATGTCCCATGCATCTATTAAAGGGATGGAACTGATGTTGCAATGCCATAAAGCTTCTTCCATCATTTTGAGAAACCTCTCCAGTCCCACAGATGCCTCTGCTTTTGGGGAGGCACTTTGCACAAGCCTTCAGAGAAGCAAAGGACCTCTTCAGACGTGCAGAATTCTAGAATTTGCCTTCAGGTTACAGTTTGGTCAGCAGTTTTAATTAATGTAATCCTTGTTTCTTTCACATTCTCCATCACTGGAACTCCACTTAAGTTAAATTAATATATTTTAATTAACTTTATGCTTTCTCCTACCTACTGCTTTGATTGTGTTAAATGATCTGTTTTCTTCCAAACCATACAGTGTGGAAGAATCTGTCAGAGATGTTTGCACAGACAGAATCTAACTAGCTAGAATGGGTGACATTCAGGTTCTTCTTTTAACCTGATACACAGCAAGGATCTGGCTCACAGAAAATACTTAGCTTTATAGTATTCAGCTGAGTTGAAACAGTTTAAATCCAAGAATTTTGGTTTATCGTGTTGCAGCCTGGCTTTCCTTTTTCTCTTACTTCTCAAGCCTTTGTAACCTTTAAATAACTCACAGCTAGAGGGCCATATCCAATCCCCATGCTGTGCTAATGATTGTATTATACTTAATGGTATATTTATTAATGGGGGTACTTCAGAGAGGGTGAAGGACAGTGGATCAACCTATGTGTATACATATCTGAAATTGCAAGCTGGATCCCCAGGGTACAGTATACATTTAGACGCTGCTATAAATGTTTTAGAACTGCAGTTAAAAAGTACTACGTGCTACATCAGAGAAAATGCAAGCCTGGCTGGTCGAGGATAGCTGTGACTCTTAGAGTAACTATTTCGAAAGACTACAGGAGGTTCTATGCTCATATTCTCACAACAACTTTTGTATCTAATAAGAGGTGTTTAAAGGTCATTTTAAAATTGCTACCACACCATGCATTCCAAAAAAGTAGTTACAAGCACTGGAGAGGGGGCTGTAGATTAACAGCAGAGGGCATCTTTTGCATATATGAGGCTTCTAATTCAGCTGTGATCCCTTCCTGGGAAATCATCCTGATCAGCAAGACACTGTCCAAGAGGGCCTAGACAGCCACTGCCACCTGAGACAGTGCCACAGAATTGTAGAGTGGGAAGGAGCCATTTACCCCATCAAATCAATTCCCTGCTAGGAACAGAAATCCAAATTAAACATCCATGATAGCTGGTTGTATAGTCTCTGCTAGAATATATGCAGTGAAAGGGGGGGCCACAACTTCCCTGGGTAATTGGTTATATTACTAAACTGCTCTTACAGTCAAAAAGTCCCCTCCCCCTCCCAATAAGTTAGAGTTAGTCTTACTGCAACTTAAATTCATTATTCCTCATCCTGCATTCCAGAATGAATAGGTTTTGACTTCCTGTGAAACATCCTTGCAGGTATTTTAAGAACACTATCATATCTTCTCTTATACTTCTAAAAGCTAAATGTGACCTGCTCCTTCAAATCATTCTTCATTTAGATTCTATTCTCTGACCATCCTAGCTGGATTTCTATAAGATGAATCCAGTTTATCCGAAGCGTTATTAAAGTGTGCTGTCAAGGATCAGACGCAGTTGTTGTGGTAAGGTCTGACCAATACAGAATAAAGTGAAGCTCTTGCTTCCCATGATTTGGAAATTTATCGATTTGCATATCGATGCAGCCTAAAATTACATTTGTGTTTTGGCAGTCGTATCAAACTGCGATCAGAGTTCCAAGATCCCTTTCACGCATATTATCCTCCATCTTATATTTGCACATTTGATTTTTTTCCCTAAGAACTTTGTATTTGACTTGATTACATTTCTTTAACCTATCACAATCAATTAAAATTTTCTGAAATTCTCTGATGTTTTAGTTTTCTAATCCAGTTCCGAATCTTCTGCAAATCTAGTATTTCACCCATTAATGAAATTGCTGAAGAGCACTGGGTCTAGGACCAAACAGTGCCAGTCCTCCTTTTAATTGCTTCTGTTCTTTTTGGATAAACTGCATTCTGCATTTGCTGTATTCCAGTTATAAGAAACATATCTCCAGATCTCACCTATTCAATTATGTTTTCTTTCCTGTAATAATTGAAGTTAATAATGTTCTTTTTTTTATTATTTTGAGCACAAGTACATAGCTAGCAAAGTTCATGAACAGTGTTCTTCCTGATGTTTCTGTCATTTCTGTCATTTCCTTCAAGAGGGCACAAGTCATTACTGGTCATCCTTGCATCAGAATTTTCTTCTCCACCCTGTGCCCCTGATGAACTCATCCTCAAGAATCTCACATTCTGTGATCAAACATCATTTCTTCTCCTTGTGAGATGCAGTGAACTCATATTAGTTTACCATCCAGAAAATGCTGATCATGATCCTGGAGACCAAATCCCTTCCACAGACACCGTTTTGATAGGCAGTCATTCATTTGCCATATTCTTCTTTCCCTTTCCAGTCCTTTTTCATGGACTCAAAGGATAAATGAGAACACCACCTGAGCTCAGGAGTTGTTTAGCTTCCTTCCCCTGGTTTCAAAGCTGCCTCTAATTGCTCTTGGCAGTATCCTCCCTGATCCAAAAATCAAGTTCAAGACAAGCTCTACCTTTCTCTGACAGAGAAAGCCTTTGGAAAACTCTCAGCTGTTATTCTGTCCTTGTAGCTTTCAGATAATTGTCTAGTTCGTGTGCCCAGATATATGGGAAGGGAGCTAGTGTTAAATGTAGACTGGAATCACAGTGCATTTTCCATAAAAGAAGGTTACATTAGACCAAATGAAAGATTCAGCAACTAAATATGTGCTCAATTTTCAAAGACACAGAACTCTTGCATGGAAAGAAATGTGACTTAACATACTAATGAGACTGAGCGGAATACCTGAATATTTTTCAGCACACCTCTCAGTATGGTAAAGTTCTATTAGGTCCATGTTGCTATATTTCTTTTTTAAATTGTAATTGTCTTTACCACAATAAATATTAATGCATTTTATTTATATCAAAATCCCTCAAGCCTCCCCAGTAAACAGCAGGGGTTCTTTGTGAGGAATGTAGAGTGCTACTAAAACTAACTTAAAATGTCAAGCAGTTGCACACATTGATCTGTGTTCCAGAAGCTTTGGCAATATTTAATGCAGGAGTAATTTTAAAAATTCCAAGAGGAAAGAAAATGTTAGAGAATGGTTTATATATGCAGGTTTTATCTAACAGAAATTCTGCTGTTGATCAGGGCATTAGGGTCAGTCATCAATGGACAATTACCAAGATCCATAGTTCAAGAAGGCTACAACTGGGAGCCTCTTAACTATTATAGCTCATCAACCTTGTGTGGCTGACTGGTGTCTCTAGAAACCAGTAAGGAAGGGAAAGAAAGGGAAGATGCAAAGCATCCATTCACTCTCATTCTCCCTGCTTTTCTACAACTTATTGAGCTCTAGTTGTGTTTGGAGTATGGGTCCAAGATTTCTCAGTCACTGTGAGTTGTTATCTTAATATATTTGCAGAACACCAAAATAGGGAATGCTAAACTTTCCCATTAGGCAGCTATGGATATTAAGCTCAGAGGAAAAGGACAAATCAAGGGAAGGAGGGAATAGAAATGAGGAAGGGTGGCCACTGAGGACATCTTCCTCAAGCATCTCTCAGGCTCTGGAACTACTTCTGGGCAGAGAAATCCTTCTGCTTTTATGTTTACTGGTTCTTACTCAGTTTTATAACCACCACCACCACCACCACAAAAGCTTTGCAAATTATTTCAAAAGAGGAGAGAGTTTCAGTAAATATTGCTGGAATTCTCACAGGTAGCATATGCTATTTTTACATTTTTACAGTTGCAGCCATACCACCTTCTGCCATTTCCAAGGGAAGATGTCATAAGGGAATTCCTCCCATTGGGCTTTCTCAGTGGCAGTGCTGTTATTGGAAAGGAGGGTACTCTTTCCCTTGGAGGAATTGTCTACCTAGCCAGCATTCCTTGATTGGGAGTTCACAATCACAACAAGGGAACAGGGGGTAAAATAGGAACAGGGAAATCTTACAAGGCAGCTGGTGAGCCTGTGGAACTGATTAGCTGCATTAAATGAGAGTTGTTTAGCTAATGGAGGTAAGCTGTATGTTTCAATTTTGGTGAAGGGGTTGCATGTTTGCTTGCTTGCCAAGCATGTGGTCGGAGGGTGAGGAGCTTACCACTGCAGCGGATTCACTGATCAGTGATTAGTTAGATCAGGCAAAAGTTCAGCCCCCAATTGCACTCTTTGGAAAGAGCAGAGGCAATTGGAAGCTAACAGCCAGAGAGAGCAAAGGGGAGGGTAAACAGGAGCTGAGGAGTTTTTTTAAGGGAGTTTAACAGGGGAGGAAACATGCTCACCGTCCCACCTTGAGACGCTAAGTATCAAAGTCAGTGTAGCTCCTAGATGAGGAAGCCAGGGCCCCAAACTCTCAACATACAATTTAGGGACTACTTTTTAGGTAAAATGGTTCCTAAAGAAGTAGGATGCAAAGATATCAACAATAACTAGTACAAAACCAGTGAGTGTGAAGACCTCCAGAAAGATCTCTCTGAAACTGGATGAATTGTCAACCATATGGCAAAGGGTCTAAGTAAGTGTAAAGTGATGCATAAATCACCCCTTTGGTCACAGTGGACAGCTCAATAAAAGTGTCACTATAGCATCTGGCAGTTGTGAAAAAGGCAAATTCCATTCTTGGGACCATTGGGAAAGGGACTGAAAGTAAAAGTGCTGACCCTTATGCAACTCTATGGTGCATTTGCAGCTGGAGTACTTTGTTTGGTTCTGGTTATCACTCTTGTGGGGGGGGGGAATAGAATTGGGAAAAGTGCACAAAAGAGCAACCAAAATGAAGAGAGGGCTCAAATACTTTTTGTACAAGAAAAGGCTACTGTGTTTGGGGCTCCTTCACTTGGAAAAACAGTGACAGAGAAGGGGGATGATTCATCTGGATAGATTCACGCATGGCATGGACAAAATGGTTTAAGAAACATTTTTCTCCCTCTTTCCAAACACTAGGGATCCGATGAAGCAGAGTGGAAGGAGACTGCAAACAGATAAAAGGAAACACTTCTTTTCAGGACACACAATTAATTTGTGGAAATCATTGCAACATGACAGAGTGAAAGCCATTTAAAAGGGGATTGGATAAATTCATGGAGGGTAGATTCATCATGGGTTATTAGTCTTGAAGGCTCAGTGTTATTTTGGGGCTGAGGGGAACCTTAATTCCAAATAGCAGTGCAGGAGAACAATGATGGCAGAGGGGGAAGGTCTCCATTTCTTTCTTGAGAGCACCACAGTGGCATCTAATAAGTCACTTTGAGAAACAAAATTCTGAACTAAATGGGTTCGACCTGATCCACCATGGCTGCTCTTATGTTCTTATCCACTTATCTGCTACCAGCTTCTCTGTCCAGAAATGTGGAAAGGGAATTAATGCTCAGCTGTATGAAGAATCAGCATCAACTTCTGGTAACAGAAGTTATGAATTACTAATAACTACTCTGTAAAAGCCTAAGGAAAGTTTGGGTACAACACTCTTTAGAAATCAAGGAACGTCAGTATATGAATAGTTTTTGCCTCTAAACTGTCAGGATTATGTTGGTTATAAAAGAAAAAGTTTATTTATTCTATTTGTATGGTAAAAGAAAACAGTATTGCTGCATTGTTAGTTGAGCATTTCACATGCTTTTGAATTCAATATGATTTGCACTGATAGAAAAGTTTTGTTTTGTTTTGTTTCAGTGCTCCAGGGAGTGGTCCTATGTTCAGATCCACCACGGTTATGGTCCGAGATAATTTTAATGAAATTCCTCAGTGTGCTCTCATTGACTCTACCAAAAAGGAACAAGAGTTCAACTTTGCACTGTTGCACAGTTCAAAGACTGCTAGTGATGTTGCATCTGTGGCTCCACTGATGCCTGATACTACAACTAACAGTGGACCAGATATTAAGCTTGGAGATCAAGTGCAGGGACTCCATGGACATAAAGTAGGCTTTTCTTTTGCATTTCCAAAGAAAGCATCCATCAAACTAGAATCATCAGCTGCTGCTTTCTATGAATATAATGATGAAACATCAGCTGAACATGGAGTTAGTCGAAGAAGCCGATTTGTTCCTGGGCCTGGCAATCTTCCAGTCTCATCAGCAGAAGAAATAGCCTTGTGTTTTGATGAGAAACCTAGTTCCATTACTCCACTGATGGAGAAACATGATGTTGACAATGTGGAGTCAATCCCAGCAGAAGACTCAAATGAACCACCCACCGAAGGGAATGGGATACAGCAGGCCCCAGAATTAAGACACCCTGTTTCTCATTTAAAAGGGCCTGGGCTTGTTGAATCAGACAGCTGTGGCACTGAGACAGATTCTTCAGCTTTACCTGATGAAATGCTAACCAGACGAGTTTTTGGGAGCCAAGCCCTTCCTGTGGAAAGCAATGGTAATGAGCACGTGGGAAATGAATGTGCAGTTCTACCTGTGAATGAAGAGCATTTATCACAATACGATATCCAAGAGGAAAATGACCCAAATGTTAGCAATGATTCACTCGCTTCTGAAGTTGAAATGAAAGAATGCATATCTGATGGGCCAATTCCAGCCAATTCTGAAGGGGAAAGGAGAGCTCTGCCTAATAAACAAATGCCATCAAAAAGGCTTTGTGACCCATTTGTTCCTGTACTTAACAAACATGGATACACCATCCTTCAGTGGCCATGTGAGATGTTACTTTACACAAACACAGAGCCATCTATTTCATACAGTTGTAATCCTTTATGTTTTGACTTCAGGTCATCAAAATCAAGTGAATCCCTGGAGAAAAATAAACAGCCGTCAAATATGCCTAATTCAACCCATAAGGCTGAATCTAGCCAGGATTTGGACTGCAATCATCCAGATGAATCTCTTTCAGTGGATACTGATTGTGCGGCTGTGGCACAGATTCCTTCAGCAGAAAGCTGTGCTCTTGAGAAAAAACAAGATGAATTTTGCTTAGATCCTTCACAGTCAACTGGAAAAAAAGAAAAATATCACAACTTTCTGAAATCTGCCAATGAACAAGAAAACAAAGGCTGGAACAAAAGGACACACGAAAAATGGTTTTATAGGAATAGGAAGAGGAAAAGGAGGAGAAAGCAATTTTATCACCATTATGAGGAAATGACCGAGCTCAGTGCTGAAATTTCTCCGGTAGCTAAACAGCAAAATAATTTTATTGATATTGATAAACATCTGAAGCTTCATGGTACTTTGGAACAAGGCATAAATGAAAGTCAGTCAAGAGATTTAGTTTTGCAGCAATTAGAGGAAACAGCCAAAATACCTGAGAAGGAAGATCATGATTATCCTGGGACCATATCTATAACCACACAAGTCCATAGGACCCAAAGTCCTCAGACAGTTTGGAACACAAGTGACAAAAGGGATTGTTGCATTAATTCTAACCATCTATGGATAAAGAACAAGCCAGTCAGTCACAGACAATCAAATAAAGCAGGATCTAATTCTGGAAGATGCAACTCAGTTTACTCTAGACCATTTTGTAACTGGACTACCAGAAGACAATGCAGTAACCCAGACCATAAACATTTAAGCCATTATCCTGATAAAAAGTGCACAAATCAGGCACAACCCATAAAGAGAGCCTATCATTCTGTCATTGATGAACCAGAAAGATCGCACAGAAAGCGAAGATATCATATCCACTCTTATTCTTCAGATGAAAGTTCAGCGGCACAAACCTGTTTCTCAGAAGAGAATGTCAGGCAGTTAAGCAAATTAGCAGTAGCTTGTAAGCCTAAACGGAAACGAAGGAGAAAAAGAACAAGGATTCATGATATATTTATAGAGAAGAGACCAAGAAGGAATATCAGTGTCAGATCTCCAACAGAAGTTGTGAAGTTTGAGGATTCTCCCAGAAAATCAACTGAAGAAAATCTAGAGCAAACAAGTTCCCATTCCAACACAGATTATGCAAAAAACATAGAAAACAAAGTGCAGCCAGTCAGAAGTCAAACAGACTCACCATCTGAACATCTAGTTTCATCAGAAAATATCCAAGGCTCAAACTCTTCCATCTCAGAGCCTACTCCCTGTCTGGAAGAATCCAGATCTTCTTCTTCTCCTGTTACTGAACACAGCATTTCAGCAGTAGGGAAATCCAGGGACATGCTGGAAGGACGAAAACACAAAAATGTGAGTGTTCCTGAAATTCAGGCTTCTCTTAAAATGTCCACCTTGGAAAGAAATCCAAACCAACTTCCTCCTAAAGCCTTTCTGTGTCATGATGAAGTTGCCGAGACTACACCTCAAGAGAAGCGAAACCCATCGGCTAACGAGTGGCTGAAGTATGCCCCCGATATATTGAACAGTATGCCTCCTTTGCACTTGAAGGAAACCCACGTGAACAGCCATGCTTTCTTAACCACAGAACAGATTCTCACCCCGTTCACCTTCCCTGAACATGCGCTGCTCTTGCCTACAGAAACCCATGACAAATTCAAGGATCTGCAGCTTGAGGCCTACCACCAGATCATCCAGCAAAACATGCTAGCTAGTAAGATGAAGCTGACCTTCCCTCCAGCAGCACTGCAACCTTCCAGTGCTGCCCTCCCGCCTCTCCCCTTGCAACAGCAGCCTCTGTGTTCTACCTCTGTCACCATGATCCACCACACTGTTCTTCAGCAGCATGCGGCGGCGGCAGCCGCTGCTGCGGCTGCCACAGCAAGTACATTTAAGGTCCTCCAGCCTCACCAGCAATTTCTTTCCCAGGTCCCAGCTCTTTCACGTGTCCCTTTACCTCATTTGTCAGTTGGGCCAAGGCTTTGCCCGACGGGCCACACAACCATGGTTGGTCCACCACAGTTGCCGGTCATTCCAGCTTCGGTTCTCCACTCAAGCCATCTGGCTTTTCCTCCTTTGCCACACACTCTGTTCCCATCCCTCTTGTCCCCACACCCTGCTGTCATTCCATTGCAGCCCCTCTTTTAGGACCCGCTGAACAGTTTAAATGAATGGGCAAGTCCTAAATTGAAGGAACACCAACTCCGTTGATCAAAATCCAGAAGAAATCCCTCTACCAGTAGCCTAAAATGAAAAGGTTACTAAAGCCCCTGGACTGGGAATTGATTTGCTATTGGATTAACAATGCAAATATTTATGTGTAAAGTGCAGATTCATAATAAAGTTAAGGCACTGAATAGTCTTTATATAGATATAGATATAAATGTATGTATGTATGAAGATCATGATTTAAAATATGTTAACATGTATATAAACTATATTTATAGTACTGTAAGTTATGTTGTAAAGTATGCACCTTGTTTTTTTAAATATATTTGTGTATTTGCACCTAAGTAATGTTTAGACAAAGCTGATGCACTATGTTTTGTACAACATTCCTTATAAACATAAATATAGTGAGAAACTTTCTCTTGCAATAATTTTCATTTGTTATGAATTTAAAGTTGTTCTTGTTTTTTAAAAAAGCATTTACTCTTAGCTTCACGTATAGTTCTTTTCTGCTGTTTAAACAGTAGGCTCTCCTAGATTTGGATAATCAAATTTCTAAGCCTACTGTGATTTATCATTGAGGCTTGGAGGTAAAATCCTTAAGGGGAGCAATCTTACTGAGTGGAGGACAAAGGGTAATTGATCTGATTGTATTTTGTGGGTCGAGACAAATAATGCCCAATGTGTTATATGCCTGAGTGGCTAACGTTAAAAAAAACAAAAAAATCCAGAGAAAAGCAGGAACGTAGAAACGAAGGAGATTCTTTATTTCAGTCAACAACCAGCATATGGGCACACAGAACTATTCCAAAATCTAGCTCTAGCCAAGTTGTTACCCCTCTGGTTTCTCTAACTCCTTTTCTATGTGGTTGTTTTAAAAAACCCCAAGCCAGAGTGAGAAATTGGGTAATCCAATATAGCCTCCCTATGATTTATTCTGCCCACCACAAGCAGCCTGTTACAGCCAAGGGAACTGCTGTCGATTCGGTATTGTCCATACCTATGTTGAAAATAGCTAAACTTATTCCTAATTACTGTTCCATCAATGCACTCCACACCAGTTGTACAGATAACAGAGACTGGTTCATCATGGGGGTTCTGAAAAGGTCAGTTATCCCACCTTAATCAATTAGAAATATTTGCCAGCGAATCACTATATTATTTTTTCCTGCCAATAAGAAACAGAATGAACTGTAATCTTGACAGCAAGTGCTGGCTGTATATTCCTAAAGATCATAGTGGTGGGTAGAAAACTCACAAGACAGATAATTGGCTTTCGGTTTAAATATATAAAGTCTTAAGTTGTGCCTGTTCTCTGGTAACTACAGTTTTCTTGGTAATAATACAAAAGTAGTTTGTCTTTGCTTTTTTGTCTAAGATTTTTTAATTATTATTATTTCTCTGTCTAGCCTATATTTTTTGGGCTCTCCCATCCAAATACTCACTTGTTCCAACCCTACTTAGCTGTTCAACATTGGTTAAGATGGGCTTTCCATTTGGTAGGTATGAAATCTGTTTCTGTTTTAAATCAGATTTATGGGCAGAAATTATTTAGGCAGATGAAAGGAGTTATCCAAAAAAGAACAAGTGAGTAGGTAATATCAAATTACTCTCAATAGATTTTGAGTAGAGAGGAGAAAATTGAATAGGGTGGTGGTGGCAGCATTTGGAACAAGCTACAGTGACATCAAAATGACAACAGGTAATATAATCACAGAAAGGGCACCATTGTATCTGTGCCACAACATCTGACGCAAATATGTAAGCCATGGTATTTGCGTGATGTCATCACAAGCGTGTCATTTGTCTCCCATCCCCCTGTGCAAGCATCCATGGGCACCAGTATAATTATTGTTGTAGAAAGAGAAGAAGAAATGGTTCATGGAAAATTCTTTTGTTATTTGGTTCTTTGCTTGCAGTTGTACTTATTCTGCACTCTCTTTCCAAAGGAAAACTCGGTGAGAGATCTAGCCCCAATCTGAGCGACTACAGGCACAGTCCATTGCCACTGGTGGTGCTGACTGGAACTGATGAGAGTTGAGCTCCAAAGCCTCTGGATCACAGACACAATACTTTTTATTAGCGTTCTTTTTAAACATAGACCCTGAGCCGCCAGCACCTGTACAATAGGGAAGCATGGAGAAATCAAACGTGTGTAAGAACCAGCCCTTACCTCTGCATTCAGGAGTACTATTGCAAGAACAGTAGCATCCTTATACTTGACACTGCTCCTTAAATAGACACATCCTTTACAACATTGTATCACAACTTAGACCTTTTTTTAATCTGGATTTTTCTTAGGCTCACACTGCCACTCATATATTCAAAACAGATCAGCTCTTGTTTTGTCTCTAGTATTCCTCTCACTTTGTTTATACTACATTTATTCACTTCATGTGGTGCTTGGAATGACTAATCAACTAAAGAGAAAATGACACAGTCATAATCAAAAAGTTAAAACACAAAAGCTAACAGGACCTTTGCATTGCTACTGTTCAACACATACTTGTTTGCCTTGCCGGTTAGGATATGACATCGCAGGTTTCTTAGTTTTCTCAATTCCCGTCCAAATGTGGTGGTGGTGGTGGAACTGAGAACAAAAGAGGTAGACCAGAAGTATTCACCTTTTCAGATTTCAGTTTGGCCTCTGGGTCCCAAAAGTTGGGGCTGGGGGAAGCCTGGTGGCTTTCAGCAAATCTTTGGCCAACAGCCAAAAGAATGTGCAATTGGGCCCAAACTAGATATTAAAATAGTTGATTAAATAGTTTGTCAGTAAATAATATGATAAACCAAAGTACTGTGTTTAATTTTCAAATGGGTTTTTCAATATTCTCATTTACTGATATTCTTTAGGCTGCAATCCTATACAATCTCTTCCTTCAGGGACAGAGGGAGAAGCTGACCTTCAGAGCTGAAGATCTAAATTCAAATCTTTGTTCCCAGCCACTGGAAAAATATAACAATTCTTGTCCAGTATTTGTTATGCTGGCTTGTTAGTTTGGCTGAGTTGTACCCACCTTGAGAGTGGTGCAGAAGATTTGCTTAGATAACATATGGATTTTCAGGATCCATAGCCACCTGATCCTCAGAAGGTGCTGATACATGTTCTAACCATGGTTTCGCTAGAAGGTCATCCATATCCTCCCTCCCTCCCCCAGGAAGCAGGGGAAGTGGAAATCCACTCTTCCTTCTTTTCCACTTTGCAGGGTTTATACTACCATGGGTTTGGATCCTCCAGGACACTGGTTATCAGGATAGGATTGCTCTGTAACCCTATCTGACTAAGAGCTCTTCCACAGACCCCCAACATTATGCTATCTATCTTCCTGTCCTTGAGATAGAAGTGGAAAACCACTGCCCACCCCAGGGGTCCTTTTGTCCTGCCTTGAAAACAAGGCCAGAAAATTTGCTACTTTCACACAATGGAAGGAAGCAGTTGCTGCAGTTGCAGTCAGAGGAACCAGGAGAAGGGAAGGGCTTCTTTGCTTGCCTCTCTTCCTATTTGCCCCAGGTGGGAGTCCCTTGCTGTTTCCCGTCATGGAATGCAGCGGTAAGGGCAGGGATCGCTGTAGTAGGAAGAAGTAGAAGTTAATAGTAGGAATATTACATTCATGGAATACTTCCAACATGGTTGGGATTCCTATCAAAGCAAAAAGAAAACTTTAGTTGCCAGGCAAGATTCTACTCTCTCTGGCAGCCAAAGGAGAAATGGCCATAGAGGCAGGGCACTGTGTGGGAAGAAGGAAGGGTTGATCTTGGAGTGGCCAATTGGAGCCCTGAAGGTTGCTGATTACCCTCATGCTTGTCCCCCTTGCAAATCCTTGCCAAAAACAAAACCCCTCCCCCCCACAGAAAAATCCACTGGAAAACCAAATTTCTGCCTGGACTGTTTTCATCCAGCTTCAGTTTGCCTCAGTGGCAGGCTGGCTCCAAGGTAGAAGCTCTAGTGTGATGACCCCCCCCCCCCCCCACAAACTGGTAAATAGGTCTTCTTAGAACCAGGTCAAGGGGGCTGCATGGATGACCCTAAACCTGCAAACATAAGTCCAGTGGACTTACTTCTAGGTAAGTGGGAATACAAATTCAGCTTGAAACCAACTTTGAAGAAGCACCCAATTACAAGAATATCAGCTATGCTGGAATTCTACTGTCAGTTTCCATATTTTTAAGTATTTTTACTCAGAATTATGCTGCCAAGCTTTAGAGAAGTTTAGCAAGCTTTGGTTTTGTTTTGTTTTTTTCAAAGCTTCTTTTTCTTTAAATCTCCTGGGTCCATAGAATTAATTAATCTTTGGATTGCAATGATAAACTAAATGAGATTATAGATTTTGTTAAATTGCTACTTGTTCCCAAAACAGCAATATGGGCAACTGATTGAAAAGTTAATATGTTCCACCCAAATGAAAATGAAAAATATAATTTTTTAACTCCTTGACCTTGGAAAAGAGTAATCTGACTATTCCACAAATATTTAAGAGGTTTGTAATTACTCAGACAACATGTAGTATAAAATAAGAGTTTGAACAAAGTTTTGTTTTGTATTTTGCTAGAATCAGAATCCCCTCCTTAGGTAGCTTTTAATTTGTCACAAACTGCCACATTATGCAAGGTGGAAAGAATTAATAGCATAAGCCTAAAATCAAATACATCTAGCTAAAGGCTTATGTACAGTTATTGGTGACTACAGAAGGTCTAAACAATTGGAAATTCACTAGACAGCATAAACCAAATTCCCTACCTATCATGGTCTGATATGTTTGAGAACCCAAGCATTATTAGCAGCCACAGTCAGACAAAAATAGATTTACTGGGCCACCAAAGCAGTGGTGTTGGGGAGGGGGGGAGCAAAAAAGTCAAGATGGTTGCAGCAACACGATCAAAGCCATGCCTCTTTTATATGTTAATGCACATTAAAGGGGCAAGAGTTCAATTGTGCCACAGTGGCCACCATCTTGATCTTTTTGACCTCCACTGCAGATAGCCACTACATCGAAGATAACTTTTGGATTATATTTGTCTTGCTGTTTTCCCAATTTTATGAGCTAAGTTTCTCCATTGTGGTACCCTAAGATACCTTACACTTTGATTCCCATCAGTCTCAAAGTGGAGGATTATGGAATTTGTAATCCAAAAATATGGAGGGCATAGTATTGGAGAAGTCTTGCTGAAAACAGTAAAGAAAATTCTGTAGATGTGATGTTGTAGGAATATCTTTGGTAAAGCTATAGCAATGTGACACTTTGCAAATAGTAGAATAAATGT